GATACCTGGTCCTGTCATCTAGATATTTCAATAAGTTATCTAATTTTGTTTGTTTTAATACATCATTATGGCTATTAATCGCACAACCTATTCAGGTGCGTTTCTGTAAAGTATACAACCTTTCGTTGTACAAGCTGCAAAAAGCCTAATCAGAGATATCATGGTTGCTGGCAGGCAATATCGGACGAAAAGAATGTACATTATTCAGATGTCAACTGATTGGTTTACTAACTTCTAACTGGAGATCATTCAATATTTATCGTCAAAATTGACCAAAAAGTAAGAAAGGCAAACGTGTTGAAATACTTTGTGCTGAGAATTCTATATTGTACTAAAAATATAATATTGAATAAAGCTAATAATAATAATAATAATAATAATAATAATAATAATAATAATAATAATAATAATAATGTCTTACCTTGTATCCTCGATCACAAATTTCTCCTACTTTTTTTCTTAGCTTTACTCATCCTGTAGTGAATTAAACACCGGTTGGGACAATCGAATGTACTTAGACACATATTACAGACTATCTCACTAAATTCTGATAACCATACAATGAACAGTTAGTTTGCAAAATAGCCATCAATTGTGTCAATCTTCACTGTTCCTTCTTTAAATGTCAATCCATCTACTCTAATTTCATTGTTTGTGCATTTTCCTACCAATTGCGCTTCATTTCGGTTCTTTCCTTATCGGTCTTCTGCCAAAATACATTCTATGTCTAACCATCACCATATACTACTTATATGGATATAAGTAGACCACACCACAATCCTACCCCGTTAATCTATCGAGTTTTATACCTGTTTATTGAGTAAACTTGACATAGATTTTCATTTCCTAGAAACCTATCTTCATGTATTTTAAACCTTTCTTCTAAACAATTTTCACGCCTAATAACATAAATATTCGTCCACTTTACCACTTTTTAATTCCCACATACTTATTGTCATTAATCTAGTACTCATGATTAATATGATATAATGTATGTACATCGGTCGTAACTAATTATTACGAATCATTTGTATCGGTTATTTGAATTTTCCCATTGTTGTTATGGTGTGAAATTGATCACTCTCTTATTGGCTTGTATATATCCTGTATTGATTACCTTGATATTGTAATTAAGTCACAAGCATTATAAGTAACAATGGATGGTGGCTAGCTGTGAAGTTCAGGACTCCAGTTTCATATTATTATTATCACTATTGTTGTGCAGGTTGTTACAAACAACTTCACACCCACAAAATTAATGAATTCATCATATTCTATTGTACTTGTTATGTTTATCATCGTCTTTTTTAAAAAGCTGAACAACATTTCTGTTGTGTTTTTTTTTTCATTTTTGTTAAATACGATCCACAATGGGTCGCGTAGATTATTTCAAGAGATATGAATGATCATAACAACAGTGACAACAACAACCAATTACCAGAATGACATACTATTGTTTTGTAAACAAATCAAACGTTTTTAAGATAAACGATCACACTCTTTTTTTTAATCATTAACCAATCGGACGGATTTACAGCTACAGGGTTGTGCCCAAACTCTTTCAGAAGTTTTCCATAAACTATGCGTTTCGTTTATTATTATTATTATTATTATTATTATTATTATTATTATTATTATTATTATTATTATACAAATGCCACTGCTACGAAGTTACATTTAACGGTACTAATAAATTTTTTTCTATCTTTCTCTTTGACTTATTTTCTATTTTCCTCTCTCACTGTAGCACATGAACACACATACTCATAGATCCAAATACAAAACACCAACAACATTAGACTAATTATTTTTGTTTTTGATTATATTTCCGTGATTCCTATATAATCAAACCATTAAGTCTTAAAATTACGTGACATCTCTGAACTTGATCACAATAGAATGATAATAACAATTCAAGTCAGTTTATTTGAATTTTGATTATTAAATAATGATAATTATCAATAGGGGTTGTGGAGATTGTTAAGTTTTTGATTGAGATCATATATTGATTGATGTTAGGCCATCATTGAAAACCTGGAAGCACTAGTGGGCCGTTTCGTCCTAGTATTGAGACTCCTCAACAATGTGCACCCACAATCCCGCTCGCGAGATTCGAAACCAGGACCTTCGATCTCGCGCACGAATGCTTAACCTCTAGACCACTGAGTCGGTATCCAACAGTGTTCAGTGCTTCCACGTTTTTAATGATGGCCTAACATCAATCGATTCATGATCTCAATCAGAAATAATGATAATTTGTTTTCTTATAGGTATTTTTAAGTTGAATCCAAATTTATTTACATGGGCAGAGAGTGAGCATATACTTTGTTTAACCTTTATGAGTGTATATACCAGAGTCTATACTTATATGTGTCTATGCTTGCACGTAACTATTTGAATGATAAATAACTGAATTTCGATAAGTCTCATTTTCATTTAAACAAGCCATGGTCACCAGAAATATCGGAAAATTAGCTTAGTTAATTTCCTCAAATACCATAAACACCAAATTGTGTTTGATTTTAAACACCACTCCGTATGATTTTTAATGTAAAGCCTCATGTTCTCATTAAAAATAAACTTAACATTATCTCACTACTTTCACACAAATTTCAAGATTGATCACGCTGACTACAGTTACCCTATCACTTCTGGAAATGTTGGTTATGCTTGAAAGAACTTCCTTATCTCTGTTCTGTTGGTGGTCTTTTTACGCTTGAAAACGCTACGCTCTATACTTTCTCAAAATATGTAAATTTAACTTGTGTTACACACAGTTCTATATTTACCAGGAGGTCTAAATTTCGAACAATCTGATCGCACATATACTTGTTAAGACATTTTTATATGAAAAATGAAGGGTCAACTAGACAGATTAAAGATAAGCCATAACAAAGAAAAATAAAGTACGCAAAAACAATAGGATAACCACTCTGGATAATAAGTCAATATTACCAGGGTAGGTTAAGAACTGCTCACTCGAAAAAGCTAAAATCGACAAGTCCTCTTTTCTCAGTAGCTGCAACTTCATCTACCAATTTACATGTACGTGCCAAAGCACATACATTGGAAGAACCGTGATTGTCTGTCCTTCTTTGTCGTTGACTGGTCTCTCTGGTTTACTGTACCTCCCTGCTACCTTCTTAGTTGTATCATATAGTTGTTTCATATTCCATTTCCATGCAACTTTTTTCATTATCATTGTTAGGTCTTCCACGTATTTCTGCTTGTCGACTCTAATACTCTTCTTTACTTTCTTGTTTGCTCCGGTGTATTCAGCCTGTTACTTGAATTTCTATGTTCTTGCTCGGCAGTTATTAATTGCTGTCCTCTTGGGTCTAAGTTAATTACATGAAAGAGTTCTACCTTTCTTGAATATTGTCCGGGGTTTCGATAGAGACCCATTCCTTATGATGGTGATGATGATTTTTGTGGTCCAGAACCTCCTGACACGTTGAATTCGGTACTTATTGGATCTCTTTACAATTGTGCTCCACAGTAGGTTCTTCTTTGTTGAGTAGATCTTGTAAGGCTTGGAACCTGTTATTGAGAGTTAGCTTTAATTCGTTGAGTTTGTCAGTATGTTGAAAGGACGCTGTATCAAACCTTTGTAATGCTGTTTCCCCAGTTGTCCAGTATTTCTTCAGATTCAGTTTCATGTTGGCTACAACCAGTTGGTAGTGATGTGAAGCTATAACAGCTCCTCTCTTGGTCCTCACGTCTTCCACTGACTTTCTGAATTTCTAGTGATCCAAATATGATCGATTTGATTCTCTTTAGTATGATCCGTTGTGACTCATGTAATTTTGCGTATACATTTGTGGGAAGTATGAGGCCACCTATAACCAATTTATTGAATGCATGTAGATTTGCGAATCTCTCCCAATTTTCGTTTCCCTCTCCCAATCCATGTCGTCTCATGATATCTTCATATCCAGTGTTGGCTATTCCGACTTTGACGTTTAGATCTCCCATCAAGATGGTCAGTTCTTTTGCTGGTCATTTTACTATGAACGATTCCAGCCTCTCATCAAGCGTATCTTTTGTCGTCGTCGTTGCTATCATTGGTGGGTGCATAACACTGGGTAACATTCATTGTGAATACCTCCTTCTTTGTTTTGAAGGATGCTTTTGTGATTCTGGATCGATCAGATTCTCGTCGTTTATGTGCATTTCGTGCTTCTTTGGACAGCATCAGAGAATTTCTTAGGCTTTGTGGGTCATTTTCGTCTTCGTAGCCAGAGTACAACAGCATTTCTCCCGTATCTAGCTTTTGCTGTCCGGCTTGGGTCCAATGGGTTTCGCTGATTGCGAGTACTGACAATTTGTTTCTTCTCATTCCCGTTGCTATTTGACAGATCTTCGTGGTTTCACACATTGCCCGGACATTCCATGTACCTATAAAAATTGTTGCTCTGGTTGTTAGAGAGTACATCGACCTTTTGGCTTCCGAAGAATATCGGCTTTCACTTCAAGGATTTATAATTCTTCTGAATGAAGATCCTTCAATTCACATGTCGGGATTTAAGTGGTTTAATTTGTTTATTCTGATTAGCATTTTTGTTTAACAAGGTTGTTTTCTACGGGATGAGATTTTTTACCCCATACCCAACCCTCCATCTTTATCCCATATCGAGACCGGCAATAACCCTAGAATTGCTACAGGCAGATTTTGTACATACGAACGGCTAATTAAACGCTTAGTGGTTAAGCGTTCTGACGCGAGACTAGTGGGTCCTTGGTTCGAATCTTGCCAGGCGAGATCGTAGATTCGCGCTCCTTAGGAGTCTCACAATAGAACGAAACGGCCGTCCAGTTCTTCCAAGTTTTCCATAATGGTCTAGTTTCAATTGACTAATGATTTCAACTATGAAAATACTGAAATCTCCACATAACCTCTTCTGATTAAAAACCAAGTGTTCTAAGTATTAGACTATTAATGAATTATTATAAATTATTAAGAAATTCGCCCTTCAATTATCAACCATGAAAATATTCAATACAAAAGAAGGGATTATAATATTCATATTATTTCTGTAAATCACATTTACAATGTAACCTATTTCAACATTTTACTATTTAAATAATAACAACATTATGAATGTCATGAAAGAAAAAGCGAACAAACCGACAAACACATTTCCATTTGAAATTGAAAATATATCAGATTATCATCATTATTATATTAAAGAGAATGAGGAAAGTATTTTAAAAGAACAAATGTTGTTTTGTACTTCACAAAGGATAAAGACAAGAAGGTAAATCAAATAAAACAATAAAAAAAAACAACCCTGTTAAAACATTGAATATTAAAATTTAATCGTTTCATCTTTTTGTGTTTTTTCAAACTGAATATAGTTTATTAATGGTGAGAAAGATTTGTAGCTCAGGTGGGTGATTTTGATTTCATTCATTTTTTTTTCAAATTGTTTCATCTTTCTGTGTTTTTCTCTTTTCTTTAACGGACTCAACTCAATGAATCTGATTGAACAGATCAAAACGATGAAAAACAATAGTGAATATGTTCACAGAAAAGAAACTGTGTGATAAGGTAATAATAATAGGGATAGTAACTATTATTATTGTTGTTATACAAAACTACCCGATTTCAAGGAATTAGCTTTGAAACAATCTTCAGGAATATAATCATGATTATTATTATTCTGTTGGTTTATACCATTTACTATCTTATTTATTTGTCCTGTACTTTTTAGAATATTGCTTTGATTTTTATCCGTTGGTAAATTTATTAAAGCATGTTGTTTTGTACAACATTTTAATGCATTTGGTGACTTACAACTACTATTTATTGTAGAAGATATTCGACAATATTGTCCTGGTGAAGTACAACAATTCAGAGAAGAAGAAGAAGAATGGAATATAGGAGTTGGAGTAAGAAGAAGAGACTGAGCATGTAATTCACTTGATGCATTTATTAACGACTCATGATTTTGATGATGATAATTATGATGATGAGGATAAGTATCATCATTATGCGGAAATGGAACTTTTGGTACAGTTATATTGGATCTATGAAAGTCTATATTATTTGTTAAGAAATGACAATTTGTTGGCATCAAATGTTTAACATAATGACCATAATTATCTGGAAGATTTAATGTCATATAATCTGATGTTGGTAAAATACCGTTTGTACAAATAGTATAAATACGTGGATAACGATTAGTGTTAGACTCATTATTATTATTATCATTATTATTGTCATTACTATTATGTAATTCTGCTTGTGGTTCATCTTGTGAAATATCTGTTTGTAAAAGTTGATTATGTTTGGTAGTAGTTGTATTAACAACGGTATTAGTGGTATCATTAGGTGAAATTCCACAAGTTTCATGTTTACATTTTGTATCCATTTCGACAGAATTCATTACAGGTATAAATGTGCTTATTTGTGGATAGATACATTGATGATTTATAGTTTTGTTAGCATAATTAAGCTTTTTATCATTACTAATCTGTTTTTGAGTTGGATTGGTTAGATTAAATTCACTATGAACACTTTCCCAATCACTAGAAAATGGTATATCCATTGTCATACCGAGTACATTATATGAATTATCTGTAAAATATAGAAACTATAATTGATTAGTAGCCAATTCTTAGAAGGATAATATATAATTATAGTAACAGACAGTCCTAGGTTGTAATACAATTCAAGTCACCGACTTTTGAACTAAAGGATTCGAGATAATTCCGTTGACTAATTCTATATGGGACCGTTATCACAGTCCAGAATAAATGAAGACAACAAAACGAAATATGAACAAGACTATCAGTATGAATTAGTATGACATATGTGGAATAAATAAAATGTTCACTTTTGTATAAAGTGAACGCTGATAACTTTGTTCAGAACAAAACAATCAAACCTTGTTAATTAATCAGTCTAGTTCATGGATTACAACACTAGCGAAAACATTCACCTGAGCTATAAATCTTCTCTATCATATTAAAGGTTCTGTTTCCATCTAAATTATTAAATAGAAAACTGATTTTTAAGATTAAACCTTAGTATTTACATATCTCATACTCACACTGTGATGTATGCTACTTATCTCTGTCGACATAAGTAGTGTATAACACCAATCGGAAGTGGAATACCCGGAAGCAGACGTTTGGGAAGATCGTACAGAATAGAACAAAAACAGAGAGTAGTTGTAATAACAATGAAGGAGCAATGAATTTTGAGACGACTGATGGGGGATTTGTAAATGATTTATTGAATGTATGGCTTTCACATTTTGCCAATAAATTCCGTGATTTTGGCACTAAACAATAAATTGGTGCTACCCACCTGAATGCTCGTTCACTACAATACTACAGTCTAAAATATCAAAATAATTAAAATGAAATTCGAATCTGACTTAGTTAGATGATCAGTAGAGATTAGTCTGGTCTAAAAATAGTTATCGTCACCGACTAACATAAGCAAAAGAACCACCCTAAAGATAAATGGTGGGAAACATAAAATGTGGTTCTCAAGATAATGATGACTAGTGACGATGTAGCTACATGAAAAAAATCTTACTAATGCAATAAGAAAACTCAGCTCATTATTATTTAACTGAAATTGTATTATACTCTCCTAATAACTCCTGACCCAGGCCTAAGATTATTTAGAAGGTAAACGAAAGACAATGGTAAATTGCTTGCTCCAATCGATACTGATATAGAGGGAGATCTGTAAGTATTTATTAAGATTTGTGTTCTTGGAGATTAATTAATCGGAATTCATGTTTCTTGACACCTGGTTCAATAGTACTCGGGCGGTCGAAAAATTCAAAATGACTTAAAAAAGAACTTTTATTGCCCATGTCAGAGGTTTATTCTAAGGATAAGTATATGGTTTGACTAGCCTTTGTATTTGTTTCTTTTCACATGCTTTGTTAAGAATTTATATAACAGGTTTGAGATTACATATATTGTCTGATAATTTCAAAATTTGCCAGGATAAGGTGTAGTACAATATGTTCTTCGTTTCTACTGTCGAATTCTTATATATGAAACTGAAATATTTTGCTAATTTTAAAACAGGTTTCTTGTAAGTGATTATTTTAACGGTTATTCTCTGAGTATCATGTAAGCTCTAAAATTTAATGAAATTGTTACCTAGTACCTAATTAGTGATGTAGAACATTTTTAAACTTACAGTAAACACCACTGTGATTAAGATTGAAAGTTGATACGGTAAATCAGAGTAAAACAGTGAATCTAAGTTCATATTAATTAGAGAGTATTTACAGCTGGTATATGTATAGACCAATATATTAGCGTGATAGATGGTAAGTGGTATGTGGTGTATGTTATTTATATCGACAAACATAAGCAGTATCTAAGACTAATCAGAAGTGAAATACCATGAAGCAAGAGGTTGAGAAAATCGAATTGAAGAGAACAGAAATGTAAAGAGAGATTAATATTAATAACAACAGAAATGAAGGAACAATGAAGTTTGTAAGAGACAACTGATGGAAGATGTGCAAATGAAATATTTAATCCATGGTTTTCATATTTTATGAAGAGAACTCTGTAATTTTGAACCAAACAATAAATTGGTTTTCCTTGACCGAGTTTTTGTGCACTACAGTACTCCGTATTCATTTAACCTAGAAGACAATAATACATGCAAAAAGTATAAACGGACGTTACAAAAGCTATATTCACCTTTATCTTGATTTAATGTATATGATTTTGAAGAGTTCACGGTTTCAATACTTTTTGACATTGTTCCATTATTCTAAAACATAAATATATACACGTATATATATTCAAGTAAAAAGTTATATTCTTTTTTCTTAAAATTTATCTAAGATAAAAATGTTTATTATCAATCAAAAGGTTTATTATTTGGTGGGAAGAGAAGTAAACTTTAAACTATATAACTAGTATAACTAGTGTTTAATCATCAGTTCGCTTTCGATCAAAACATTTATTTGCTTACTTATTTAAACACATAAATATTGGCACGAAGGGGCACCAGATACATATGTGCCACACAAATCTCATGTGATTTGTGTGAGGTCTGTGATACTGTCCGGGTGTCCACACCGAGGCAGGTGATTTTCTTAAGGGGCCACACCCGGAGCCTTCGACCTAAAGGTCTGATCAGCAAGGCAGTGGAGCATCGTGAGGAGATGCAGTCTCATGGTAGCCGGTGGCCAACAATTGATTCATACGCCATTTGTTCCCTCAGGATACTGGAGCCCATGTGAACGATTGGTTTGGAATCAGGGTTTTCCAACTCACCTAGGAGAACTTTCTGTGTCCACCAATCCGGTTAAAGCTCCGGACATTCGCTTTTAGTTCTCTCACTTTCGTAAACAACACCCCTGGTGTGAGAAGGCAGTGAGTAGGACTTCCCTGTCAGAGGCTGTATACGCGTGTCCATGTGAGAGCATTTCGAGGTAGAGGGCGGACTCTTCCCACTCTTGGCCGTACCAGGGCATTTAGGGGCGATCAAAATATTAACATTTGTTCATTATATAGAAAGTATTAGTCGATTAAAAGAATTATTGTAAACTTTTGAACATTCATTATCTACTGTTCACTAATGTTCACTAAACAATAATAATGACTTTAACTGTTAACGCATTGACAGCATAAAAATTTAACACCATAACATATTTTTGGATTAATAAATGCATTCCTCATGAGGTCTAAATATTCTCCCATTGACCCATGGCTTAGTGGTTATGAATGTAGATTGTTAAAAAAATTCAGTTTTCAGTGGTTGTCTAGCTAAAGTCAAGAAGTTGTGTAGATTGGTCTACATACTAAACATTTTCCACAAATTTCCTTTTTTGCTAATTATAAGAAAGATTTTCATAAGAAAATATTCACAGAATATCAAATAAGAAACAACAAACCGGGATAGAATTACAAATGCTATCTTCTCCTAGTAAAGACATATGATAATGATGGCTTTTCTCAATGTTATATATTTCATACAACATGGAATTCCCAGCACAAAAACATTTAAACTCTGAGAGTCGAAGCCAGGTTACCTAGGAGAAAGCCAGGAATTCTAATCGCTACAGTATATAATACTACCAATGTCTAGTTAACGTAAATTAATTAAATACCCCCCACCCTTCAAAAAAACGTTGAGATGTATTTAAATTAAAATAGTATATATACCCAATGAAACAATTGAACATTTAACTTTGAGGTAGATAGTATTTCACTTTGAAAACAAAAAAGCCGCGCTTAGTTTAACATTTTAAAAATGTTGCAATATTTTTTTATCTCAGAATTTTAGAACTTCGATAAAACAATCTATTCAATTGAATACAATTTTCAATTTATCAGTAAAATTGAAAAATCATTTATCTGTAAAAATTTATCCTACTTAAATTGATGTTAATGTGAAGGTGTAATATTAATGAAGAGTTTATTCATAGTTGAATAGATAACCAATAAATTTTAAAATATTCATTTTTGTAATTTTTCTAAGAATAAATTTGTCAGACAATTGATGCTGTGAAAAAAAAATTATTGAAGCGACTCTTGAATTCAACTATTAAAATTACTACAATCTCCACAAATCCCTATTCTGATAATAATCATATACTTATTAGTGACTAGATTTGAGATGGATTTCGTGGGATTCTAGTGAGAAGCGGTGACCAGTGGAGTCTAATCTGTGTCGGATGAAGACATTTATCCACTGAAGACAATAGATGAAGGGTTACGCAAGATCATGGATCAATTGAAGTTAGACATTAACGCCATTGAATGCTGGTTTATTGGTTTAGAGGTCAAGCGTTCGTGCGTGAGACTTAAGGTCCTGGGTTCGACTCCCGCATACAGGATCATAGATAGACACTATTGAGGAGTCTCACAATCCAGTGCTTCCAGGTTTTCAATGGTGATCTAGCTTACATCAACTCATGAAATCAACCATTAAAATAATTTGAAATAAACTATGCCTTGTATCACTTTAAGTATAAAAATATTTGGATTACCGGCATTCGATAATGACACATTACCTTATAATATATACATTAACCTAATGATTTTCACAATTCTATGGAAATTCATATTGTTCATTTTTTAAAATCTATACAGTAACATAATGAAAAAGGAATGAGATATGAGTTCTGAATAGCGTCTTGTAGAATAACCCCATACTCGCGGGGTGATGGATGTGCAGTGCTAAGTAGTCCCATACCAAGATGAAACGTCTGTTGAGTACTTTCAGGTTTTTTAATGGCGGTATGAATAGGATTAGTTCGTGATTTAAATTATGAGATAACCCGAGTAATGAGATTTTATCTACCGAAGAAAATCGTAATGAAACATGGGAGGGTAAGATGAACAACTCAGTAGCTTCCATATTGATTCGAATCCAAATCAGTTATAACCAAACTCATACATGATATAATGGAGTCATTTGAATATTGTTGCTTTGACATGTTATAGATCTATATGAATGAATAAGTAGCTTGGTACAATAAAACTAATGAATGTTATTCATATGACAAGTAATTAATTAAATATATTGATGAATGTTTCTATTGAATAAATAGGTGTTGTATAACTTAGTTCCTATGTCTATTGACTATTTAACATCACATAACATTTCACTACACAAATAACTATGGCGTAAGGTTGAAAACTGCATAGGTAATTGATCTAGATTCAAAACAAAGAGCGAATACAGCTGTGACTAACTTTGGAAACTAATAAATACAAGACAGCTGTTTCATTTCAGTACGAGATTTCTCAGAAGTGTACATTAATGATCACGTATAAGGTTTGACCCTCAAATTTCTTTGTGAACACAAACTTTATATTACTAATTTTAAATACAATAGACTACATTCTCAACCTCAGTTAGTTCACGATATCGTATGAACAATCTTCCAAATCATCGGTGCATCCTAATTTATGTCATATTACTCCTAGGAATTTGTCGTTGGAATTATACAATTATATCTTGACAAAATGAATCAATAAATAGAGTAGAATAACAATTATTTGACTTGTCTGTAGTACCGGTATGTTATATGTTTTATATAGAAAAGATTAGACATGTAGCGCTTTATTCGAATTCGTCAGCTAAATGTACCTGCATCTCAGAGTTTATGTTCACTAGGAGACTCGAGACCATTACCTTTCACTTCAAACATCCACGCATTATCCACTTAGCTACTGGGATCACATAGCCATTCACTTGTATCCTTTATGAAAATCGATCTATATTAAACACTAAACCTAAATTCGATTTTAATCAATCAATAACGGATTAATGTAAGGAATTTTCTGATTTTGAGAAAAAAACTTCCGATAAAGTGAATTTTGAATTAGAATATTATTCTCATAAAATTATATTTCAGTACCACTTGAAGTACCGATGTCAAATATTCTCAGAGAATAACTTACCAACGGACGATTACGGTTGATGACCAATCGTATAACATTACAGAATTGTTTCCATTTACTGGTATGATCACCGGTTTTCTTGTCGATTTGATTGTTTGTGTTATGATTGTTAATGTTGCTTTTATCTGAAAAGAAGCACAACAAACAAGAAAAACCAATGAAAAATTATTGAAATAAATTTGTATCAAATGGAAGATTTCATTGAAATGTATCAAGAATCATTGCTAAATTAAGCATATATATAAATATATATTAAAACCCCTCAGTAGCTCATTGAAAAAGATTCCAAATGCTAGGAAAAGTCTGAAAATAGTTCGACTAATCAACATTCTTTAGAAATTTCAAAGAGAACTTTAGAATACGATGGATAATGTTTTGGTTGATTTAGCTGGGCATTTATCGATGTTCCTAATCAATTTTAACATGAGTCTAAAACACACCACTACCCTTGTTTTCTGAACATACATTGAAATTCAAAGCAAGCTTGTTCGATACTTTCTGTCTCCTGTTTTCTTTTTGGGATTCAATAATAGACGATTTCTACGAAGTAGAAAACGAATAAGAAGCCAGGGTCAAATCGTTCAAGTACGATACTTATCAATACGTAAGTAGAAATTAATTAAGCATTATTTAGTACCAAGGAGTATTTGGTTTAGATTTAGAAACCCTTTACTATTATAAACTAGTGAGCATCCATACACTGTCAAACTAACTAAACGTGCAGTCATTCAGCCTATGGGTTCGAATACTATAGTTTCAGTCTCAGTTCGGTGCACACAGTAATCATTATTACGATATTATTGTTGATGAATATTCCCAATTCGTTCTGACCTAGTTTACTTCACAGATCACGAGCAGCCTTTCAGTACAATTTTAAAAAATCTGTTTGATGGAAGTAAGTCAATAATAAGTACAGAACTGTGGTTAAGATATACATAAAATACTATTTAATAAAAAGTTTATTAAAAAAGAGAGTTACAGTGGAAAGTAGTATGTTACTGGCTAATGAACAACGAGTAAAATTATATGAAAAAATCTATCCAACTACAATTCAATACAAACAAGTTTCTAATTCTTATCACCCATAAGTTCTTAGACGTACACAGAAACACATATTTTAATTAGTCACTTTAGTATTCTAGGATAAGTTTATCCTCAACGTTTTTCAAATTTACCCAAGTATGTTGTATCTAGGATTTTCAACCATTTATTTGTTCATTAAGTAGGTGAGTTACTGATCAGATACCTATGCTCCATGAGGAGTATCAGGTGTAAATAAGTGCTAAATATTAGAGTATGATCTTCATTAGAGCCTTTGTTTTGACCCCGAGTGTTCACAAAATCTGTTTTTTACCTGATATATTGAGGTGTGCTTAGTTGATATTTTAATACCAGCCAGATATGCATGACCATATGAACTGAAAATGAAAGTAACACTCCGATACGTAGCACTGAGTCTCTAAATGGACCGAAAAATGAGCAAAATTCCTGGAAACAACATAAATAAAACGTTACAGATAAATTCAGCTCTATCTGACAAACAAAATCTGAAATTTTATGTGGAATGAATACCTTTAACAGTGTTACAATTTATTTAATATAACAAAAACAATTTAAAATCGACATGTAGGAAGTTTTGGAAATAATCAGTACAACAAAAAACTGTCAATAATGAACAACTTCCATGGAATTAATTAATCTGCCTATGTGGCACCATAATGTAGTTGAATGTTGCTTAACATTCAAGATTTCTTCAACCATTATTGAACCATTGAGATTCAGACCAATAATCAGAATTTCTTAATTTGACTGGAAGGTTGATATGTGAGTAGGTTAAAAGAAAGCTAGAAGTGACCAAATAAAGTATGGCATCAGTCCATAAAGTCAGTAACCGTTGGGTTGACTTGTGTAGGTAGGTGTAAACCATCTGGTTTGAGTGTGAACACTTATCAAAAATAATGGTTACAAATGTTATGTGACATGGCTCAAAATCTTTCTCATTGTCTCTAGTGCATTCGATCTTCCTCTTGTCTTAGATCCTAAATTTCTAAGTTATAATTTTTTACTTCCTTCCTCATCTGATTTTAGTGAGATGAGAGATAATTATAATGAAATGCATGCATCAAATCTGTTGCGCAATGAAAACAATGATGTCATAGGAGTTAAGCTAGCTGTAAATGTTATGGAACAACTGACACCTAATTACTGCTGAAGAATACTTCTAAATACAAAGACATTTTTGTTTAAATACTCACAAGTGAGATGGAAATAAGACGGGAATTTGTTGTAAAGTTTATACTGAAAAGTCTTTATTGTAATCAATATTTTAGGAGTTAAAATCTAATCATGAATATAAGTCCTCGGATGATCTGATGTATCAGTTGTTCATGATGAAAACTTTAAAGCAATTGTGTTTGCTTCGAACTAGATTGTTTAATCATACAGTTTCCAATGTTATTTCACCGACAATTATATCGTAAGTAGATATATTCACGAAGAAATCAGCTGTTTTTACTCAATAAAAACATTTTTAAACTTGAAGATGCTACAAGTATTTGGAGTTTGACAACACCTTAACCAGTAACACCTATAATCAAAATGTGCCCACCCAGTGAAATCAGAAGTCAGAAGCAAAGAGGTTCGAAGATATATTTGATAGGCTATCGATATATCAAGAAGTGACTGATCTAAACTGGCTAGTGGTCGTAAGAGAACTTGAGCACGATGTTCCCATTTGTGATCTGGTGCGGATACGTGACCGAGAACCTTCAGCTAGGTGAATCCATTAAAACTAATGTGGTCAGCATCAAATGTCGAAGACTTACAGAGTTATTGATTTTGTGGATTTAATTAACGCTACAAATTAATATCATGCCAAAAAAATTTAAAAAGTTTTAATTAATCAATTCATACTGTGCTTGTTTGGAACTTACCAGTTTTATATTGATATTGTTTCACAGTATTATTATGAAGTTTATTCCGATCAATGTTAAATCCATTTCTACCTAAACGAATAGTTTGTACTCCATGTAATGCATAAGTTATCAATAATAATAAACAAACTAAAATAATAATTACTAATCCAATACCTAAACCAGTAATTAATTCAGTACTATTTTGATATGGATTAATTATCTCCATTTGATCAGTATTTATAGAATTTTGATAATCTGGTATTAATCTTTCCAAATTATTATTATTTTGACTATTCTGTAGTTGAAATGGTGATGATGATGATGATGACAATGATAATTTGGTATTCGTTGATTGAGTATATTTCATTTTTGATTTAGATAATGAATTTGAATGATAATTCATTTTTTGTTGATCAATATCTAATAATTTTAATTGTGCATTATTATTATTGATTTTGGTATTACTGTTTAAATATGATCCCATATATTGTTTTTTATAATATTGATTAAAATCAGTTGAATTCATTAAATGATTAATAGTATCTAAATTAGTTTTTATATTTTTATTATTGATTTTTAATAAAGAATTATCAAAATGATTAAAATTCTTGTTGCTAACCAATTGTTTATTTTCTTTTTCATTAATAAAATCAATATATAATAATGCATAATTTTTTCTAGATGGTATACCACAATCTTCTGCAAAAATAATTAAACTTTTTGGTATTTTTTGTAAATTCTCCATAGTGATTAATTTATTGATACGTATTTCACCAGAAATTGGATCAATAATAAAATAATCATTTATTGATTTATTATTATTATCATTATTATTTAATAATTGATATGATTGATATGATAATTGCCAATAACCTTCATAAGTTTCAAGTTTATAAATAATTTTCCCATTATCTCCATCATCTAAATCAATTGCATGAACTGTATAAATTAATGTACCAGGATTTATACTATCTATATTGAATAGATTAATTCGTTCACTTGGTATATTTAATAATTTTAAATTGGAATAAGTTAAAGTTGATCGACTATTATCATGACTACTACTACTAATACTACTCATATTCAAATTTAGATTATCATATGAAGGTTTTAAAAATTTTGGTGAATTATCATTAATATCTCTTAAATTGATTGTAATTGTTACTGTTGATGATAATGTAGGATTTTTACCTAAATCACTAATTATAATTGGTATTTCATAAAAAGGTATTTTTTCACGATCTAAATAATGATTATCAATATTTCTATCATTATATATTTTAGTTGATTGAACAAATAGATTACCATCTGAACGTAAAAACCATTTTGGATTATTAATACTAAACTGATTTTCATAGCCTAATTTAAAGATGATTTTACCATTTTCACCGATATCATAATCTTCACCATTTAAACGTCCAATAAAAATATGATGATTTGTTGAATGATATTGTCTTGTACTTGAAGTTCTAGTACTACTACTACTGCTACTTCTATTATGGTTACCATTATTAATCAAATGTTCCATAGTTGTATCTTCCTCATCTATCCAGAAGGTTGTATTTCCTGTTAATTTTGGTATATTATCATTCACATCTTCTATTCCCACATGTATCCATGCATGTGATGTTCTACTTGGAAATTCATCATCATAAGCTATAACAGGTATTATCATTGAATCTTTAACTTCTCTATCTAATGGTACGTTAGTTGTTTTAATTTTACCAGATCTTGAATCAATTTTAAAATGTGCGTAAATTGTGCTTAAATTTAAATCTGTATAGTTTTGTATAAATGGATCAGTGACTTGGGCAAATCGATAGGTAATATGACTTTCTTCGTCTTTATCAATAGCATTTAATTTAATTAATTCGGTATTTTCAATAGAATTTTCTAAGATTTTCACTTCATAATGTAAACGATCAAATTGTGGCCCGTTGTCATTTTCATCTAAAATATTAACTTTTAGTAATTTTGTTGAAGAAAGACGTTTTGTTGAAGTTGATGAAGGCATATTATTATTGGTTTGTAAAGGGTAACTCGAGTCGGATTTTTTTTCAGCATGATCATGACATGTAAGATAAATAGAATAGGAATTTTTAACTTCTCTATCTAAAGTTGTCTTTGTCATAAGTATGTACTCAGTATCATGCCGTCCTAATACATTGGATTGTGTATGTTGAATATAACTGGATGATACTGTTGGTTCAATGTTGTTTGATATAGTGGCTGAATGAATTGAATCATCTTCAACGTGATGTAACTCAAAATTTTGAAGACCTTTCAAGTATTCCGATTCAAGTGAATTACCAGATTCCTGAATTCTTCGACCAAAGGTATCTGCTTCACTTAAGTAGCATTCCACTTCTCCTGAAATTCCTGTATCTCGATCTCTAGCGGACACCTATTTTGTTGAAAATAACATGAGAAATTCAGGAAAACTCGTTACATTACTGAATTAAATTTAAGTAACTCAACGACAAATACATTGTAAAGACAAAACAATGACATTTCAAAGGATTCCGATGATACTGAATTTTGATAAAAATCTGAAATCATATATTTCTTGTGTTCCGACTTGATATATAGTTGGGATAACATTCAATGTAATGGAACTGTACTTTTGAACATTTTATTTTTCGATGATCTCAAAAGTTATAGACCGAAAGTTTGAAGAAGTAACTTCCGACTTTCTATAAGAAATCTCAAAAACGAAGAAAGTATTTAAATTTATTTTGTATTGTTTGTTTGAATCTTCTCACTGATGTTTAGGACTATAATTGACCAGTCTCTTGTTGGCATATGTGGATCCTAAGCGGATTGTCTTAAGTCACAAACATTATAAGCAAAGATGGGTAGTGGCTAGCAGTGAAATCCAGTACTCGTCAGCCGGATGTACCTGTATCCTAAAGTTGGTGTTCACTCTGGGACTCGGGTTAAAGGTTATCAGGACTCAGTAGCTAAGTGAATAACGAGATGTTGTTTGAAGCGAATAGTACTGAGTTCCAGTCCCGGAGTGAACATCAAATCTAGGATGCAGGTACATCCAGATGACGAGTTTCAAATAGGATGAAGCCGGCGTCCCGGATTCCTGCGCTAGCTACCATCCAACTTTGCCTATGAAGAAAGTATTTTTCTATTAGTTCAGATGATATTTCAATAACATTTTATGTCCAATAAAAATAGACATTTAAAATGTGAAATTACTCCATTAAATGAACACTGGCACAAACTACTGGCTACTGGTATCTAACACTGCAAATTATGGTGTTATTCCAGTGACTGGTGAAGCTGAAACGGAGTTAAAAATGTCTACTTTCAAGAAGTTCGAATATTTATTAAGAATTTATTCTGAAGTAGTTCTATCAATTACAAGACGTAAATCCATGCCTATTTCAACATTGGTGGTTTAAGTTTTCTAAAATTAAAAACTGTTCAATGTACAAGTTATTGTAGCTAACCCTTATATGATGTTATACACCGAAGAACTGATTTTAATTCGTCAAATAAACATATTACGTTAATGACGGTGTAGAATAGATATTATTACATAAACAATTGATTAATGAAAAAATATCAATCTTTGACTAAAGTTCGACAATTAAAATAATAGCATAGCTGTAACAAAGTCTGAAATTTTTAAGTTTTTTAATCATAAACTTGTAACGCATTGGAACCTTTAAGTTATCAACTTCTAATATCGATTTTACAGATTCTGTTAATCTCAGACTTGTTTTATTCCTGATTGTTACCGATTGTTTTCATCATTAAATGTAAATGCATTCTATATGCTTGTTGAGTACTCAGTTCGATTATTCTCTTATTCTTTACACTTCCAGATTCTCTTACATACCGCTCTTTACAACTCCCCAACATACAAGGTACTTTCAAGCTAGACCCAAACCTACCAAAGGGTGAACATTACAAACTGTTCAACTAATGAGTATTTTTTTAAACAAATATTTCAGCCAAAACAATGATGTATTCATTGATCGCTGATTTTAATGTTCGTTTGTATAATATTACATTATTGCAAGGATCAAATTAAATATCACTATTATAAATCATTATTTCAAGAAGTTCTTTTTGGTGGTAAATTTAGTCCAGTACCTATTATATTCATCATCCAGAAGATACAGGTAATTATTAACAGTTGTCTACGCAAGATACTTCGGATCCGTTCGTCAGACTCTATCAGCAACATTCTACTGTGGGAAAAAAACAAACCAGATTTCAGCGGAGGAAGAAATCAAGAAGAAGCGCTCGAAGTGGATAGGATACACATTAAGGAAAGCAACCAACTGCGTCACAAGATAAGCCCTCACATGGAATCCTGAATGCCAAAGGAGAAGAGGAAGACCAAAGAACACATTACGCCGAGAAATGGGGACAGACATGAGAAGAATGAACAAAAATTGGATAGAACTAGAAATGAAGGCCCGGGACAGAGTGGGTTGGAGAATTCTGGTCGGCGGCCTATGCTCCATTGGGAGTAACAGGAGTAAGTGATTAAGTAACTCATTATATTGTTGTTGTTTTTACAGTGAATAATGAATAGCTAATTACAGAAAAAAATTCGAGCAGTCAAAGATTAAGTCGGTGAATAACACTGGTCGAATAATACATTAAAACAAACACTATTCATAAGCAAATAAAGTATCACTTCTCCGTACCTTTGCAATAAAAGTGCCAATAGGAGAATTTTCTCTTACAGCTAATAGTTGAAAATGAGTAGGATTAAAACTGTCCAATGTTGAATGTCCAATTGTACGTTGATAATTATTATAATTTATATTAGTCGATTCAATACCACGTATAGTAATACTCGGAGCTTCATCATTCACATCTAATACTTGGATAGTAAGCGTTAGTGTGCTACTCAATTGTGGACGTCCAAAGTCAATTGCCACAATAGGCAATATATAATTACGTGGACCAGATTCATAATCTAATCGTTGTATCAATATTATCCAACCATCTTCTTTCCCTAAACGGAAATAATGTTTGACCCCGAGATCAGTTTCTTGTGCAATAAAATAATGTACAGTAATTCTAGGATGTGTTGATTGATAAGATTGATATGGATTATTAATCGTAGAGAAATCAATTGAATCGAAATCAATTGCTTGTACACGATAGATTCGACTCCCAACATTGATATCTTCAGGTAATCCAAGAACTAAGTAATTGGAATCTGCTAGTTTAATGTGATTATTATTTTCGACCCGGTCTTGGTTTTGTTGTTCACCTGCGATTGATTTGGAATCATATGAAAATGATTTAATTTGTACTTGTGGATGAAATCGACTAGAATGTCCAATAAATGTGTGATCAGTATTCAATAGTTGTTGTCGAATAGTATTACCTTGTTGATTAGTAATATTAATACCGAAATCAAATGTTGGTGTATATTCATTCACTTCTTTAATATAAATGCTAATTGGTAATTGAGCTGTATTACGTAATTTAGACTGTTCAGATTGATCATAAGCTAAAAGGATTAATCGATACTCGGATTTACGTTCACGATCTAAAGTGAAACGACTTATAAGATGTAAGGATTTAATGTTTTTAGATTTAGAATCAAATGAGTTGGAAATTCGTGAATCTGTTGTATGATTTAATAATTCGAAATATTCAGCATCCGGACCCTGAGTTAAAAAATAAAATAAGTAAATGATTAAAAACTATAGAATCCCAATGGTCTAGAAAGAAAATGTGAATACAGTCATGTGTAAGGTAATACCAGTTGTCTAAAAGATAGTATTTTGAAATCATTGATATAACTATCAACAGGATGTGTGGATAAATCCTATAGAAATTTATAAATCCCTCAAGTTTTGAACCAACCTTGCTAGTGGGTAAATAAAAAGTTTGTTACTTTTTTCACTTATGTTAGATAGAGAAACAAAAATCCCTGAACAGCTTTTCTGTGCAAGGTATCATGTCGGCTTTGAGACTTAAAGATTCCATGGTCAATTATATGTGTGTTCACTGGTGAGTACTTATTACAAGCCTAAAACTAGGACGAAATGACTGTTCGGTGCCTAATAATTCTCGAGATGATAACTTTATGTGGTAAAAAAGAAACCATGTTCATAAAATTCCGTCAAACAGTAAATTAAATGAACACACTTCTATATCCGAACTGTTGAATTAGATTTCTCCACAGAAAGAGTGATGTCTCAGTGCTTACGACTTTAAAATTTTGGCTAATAATTAGTAGATTCAGACATTTCTTCACGTATATTGCTTTGGATAATAAGGTAGTATCAGCAGCCCTCCCCGCAATTACAGTGTGACTAGAAGCCAAGTAAATAAATCTACATCAGAAAAATGAGTTAAATAAATGAATGCAGATTTGTATAGGCATTTCACTGATTATTATTTATTGATTAATTTATCATAGTTAATTACAAGATATAGTGCTAATATTGAGTTAAATTAAAAAATTATTTGTTGTTAGCTAGGATTTGTCATTCTCCATTTTCATATTCAAAATTGTAAGTAGTCAATCTCTGTTGCTATATGTGTCCTGATTAAATTCCCTCGATGTAAAAAGTTTGAGTATATTTAGTATATGGACAGTAGTTGAATCTAGGACACGAATTTCTTATTAATATGGGTCTCGTCAGCTGGGATACAGAATCAGCCAGTTAAATTGTATGCTGCTGTTGTTCAATGAATCTCATTTTAGAATTAAAAATAACCTTCTAAACAGCTCATAAAACTGTATATACAAACGACTCAGATTTGGTTCCTTCATGTAGCATCAATCCCTTTAAGATTGCAGGCCTATCTTTCTGATGAACCTCAGTCAACATAAAACAGGTCAGGTAGAGTTTTCAGCTGACTACTTACAATTACTAAACAACTCATATTTCCATCAACTGAGTCAAAATCAACAACCCCACATCCAGTCAATCCCATTGACGATACCTATCTCACTCTTTATCTTAGTATATTGAAAAAATAACTAATTACGTTAAAGAAGCAAACGATGAAATTCAAGTTTTATCTCTTAGTAACATCAATACAGCTAATATAATTATCTATTGAAACATAAGATAACGAAGAAGGCAAAGAAAGAGAGAAAGGGAAATAATTGAGGGTAACTTTTAAATTCAATTACAAGTAATGCTGATTTGCGTTAAGATTAAATATATCATCAAAGTATAGGGAATAAAACTATTGCCTACTTGTCATTTTATTTTTATTTCATTTCTGAATAGAAAATTGCTCGATTTTTTATGATAAGAGAATGTTCAGTTATATTTGAAAGAGTAAACAAAATTTCTGATGATTATTGTAGATAAAAGCGGGAAAAAATGTCTTTGAGGTGAATTATGTTATCAAGAAATAATATCAATATTCAATAAGAGGAAACAGTAACTTAAACTGCAATGATATTTATGGATTTTTCTTTTCTTTTTTTTAAAATTACAATATTGATATAATGTTCAAGAGTTTTTCTATAAGTGTCAAGCTTCTATCAGGTTTTTAGATCATTGCGAGATAGCCTATAAGTAATTTACCTATTATGATATATAGAAATCTGGGATTTTATCTTGTAGGTAGTGTTTGTAATCTGGTAGTTTAAATTTAATTCTGTCAAATTGATTTGAATTGTGTTAGAAAGTATTTGAAAAATTTCACTTGTTTCAAGATAGAAAAGATTACTGTAAGCTCAGATTTAATATTTTATTAGCCCAAATTAACTGATATAATTGGTCAAGAAAACTATTCTGCTATCTAACATGTGGTATGTTAACACAATGTTAGGTTGTTGGCGGGGAAATATTATTTGATTTGCACTTCGAGCTAGTTAATATTCATCAGCAAGGTGTGAATTTAATCTTGAGGAGACCAATCTTTCCTATAGGATTCGAACCTGTATTACCCAGCTTCAGAATCTGAGATATTATTACTAAGCTATTTGGCCAGCGACTGATTTGACATTACCGTACAAAATGAACTTTTACAGTTTATTATTCAAAAATGTTCATGCTATTTCAGTAAACTTTCAAGATGCTTTACCAGAATATCGATAACTAATTTTGAGTTATATTAAATGTTTTTAAGAATGATTAATCGTCTTTAGATGAGAATCTTCAGGATTATCAATACATTTTTAATTATTCAAAATTCCATTTATACTATGTAAGTTGGACATCTAATAGTTTTATAAATGTAAATGTTTTTACATATACATTTAAAAGATTAAAATTTGCATTAAAGCCAAAATATTATGTTATTATTCGTTCTATTATTGTTTGTATCATTACTCAAACTTTGATTTGTCCACCGAACGATAATTGCTAAATCTTCTTATCTTACACCTGTTACTCTTCATGGAGGATCATAGACCGCTCATCAGCATTATGCACTTAACTCGTCCTCGAAAATCCTTTCTAGTTCACTCCACTTGCTATTCATACTTTTCATGTATGATTCCAATTCTCGACTCAATGTATTCCGCCACCTTCCTCTCTTCCGTTTTCATTCAGTATTCCAAATTAGCACTTCCTTCATGATGCAGTTTAATGATTTCCTCAATGTGTGTCCTATCCACTTCCAATATCTTTTCTTAATTTCCTCTTCAGGTGGAAGCTGGTTTGTTCTCTCTCTCACAGAAGGTTGTTGCTGATGGTATCCATTCAACGGACATTGAGTATCTTATGTAAACAATTGTTTATAAATACTTGTATATTTTTGATGTTGGTTGTGGTAGTTCTCTAAGTTTCAGCTCCGTACAGTAGAACTGTCTTGACGTTTGTATAGAAGATTGTGACTTCGATATTGGTTGAGAGTTGTTTTGAGTTCTATATGTTCTCCAATTGTAGGAATGAGGCCATTGCTTTGCCATTCCTTGTTCATCAATGATGCTGCCAACCAGGTATGTGAAATATTCCACATCTTCCAGAGCTTCTCCATCAAGTATGATTTTGTTGGTGTTCTCCGTGTTGCATTTGAGAATCTTGCTTTTACCTTTTTGAATGTTGAGGCCTATTGATTCGTAGGCTGTTGCTACTACACTGGTTGTCTTCACTTACATTTGTTAGTGTGTCTGAGGTAGGAGGGCTAGGTCATCTGAGATGTTCAAGTCATCTAATTACATCGAAGTTGTCCATTGTATTCTGTGTTTCCTCTGAGATATGGATGGGCGAGAGTGAACAGTTTTGTTTGACTCAGGTGATAATTGCTAAAATTACAAGTGAAATCAATTATTATTGTTGGATGCCGGTTCAGTGGTCTAGAGGTTAAGTGCTGTGGTGCGAGACTCGTAGGTCCTGGGTTCAATTCTCGTGAGTGAGGGATCGTGGATACTTACTGCTGAGGAGTCCCATAATAGGACGACACGGCCGTCCAGTGCTTCCAGGTTTTCGATGGTGGTCTAGCTTCAATTGACTCAGGATTTCAACTACGAAAATACTGAAATATCCAAAAAAAACCCTTCTGATCTATTATAAATTAACCAATCATATTTCACTTATCTCTCTAAGTATGTATATATACACACATACATACATACACATAGATAGATAGATATAGATATACATATACAGACAGGTTTATTTCTATCATCACATAATTTCTCCATATCACAAACATATATATCTAATACAAAAATCAATACACACGTGCAACAATAATCTAAAAATAATTAATTCTATTAGTTCTAGTGGGAAGCAGTGACCAGTGGAGTTCATCCAGGTCTGTTGTGAGATATCAACTCACTGATGACATTGGTGAACGGTCGCTCAAAATCGTGGATTGGTTGAAGTTAGACATTAACACCGTTGGATGCCGGCTCAGTGGTCTAACGGTTAAGGGCTTCGGCTCGAAACTGGTGGGTCCTGGGTTCGAATCTCGCGGGTGCGGGATCGTGGATGCGCACTGCTGAGGAGTCCCATAATAGGACGAAACGGCCGTCCAGTGCTTCCAGGTTTTCGATGGTGGTCCAGCTTCAATCGACTCATAATTTCAACTTTGAACTATTTTAATTAATAGAATAGAATATTGAAAATAAATTCAAACATAAAAAACAACTCAAAAATGACTCATTACATTGATTTTGTTTGGTTTCATTTTTTGGATGAGGGGGGGGTGGCGTTTATTATTTTACTACAAATTATCAAAAAATAATCTTCATATTTAGGTAATTCCAAATATTCACTACATGTACGTCATTTATTATTATTATTATTGTTTTAATGAGTAATAACTATGGGGGTGGGTGGATATATATATTATCTCTAAACAAATAACTCAATTATTATGACTAGCATTTTAATGTATTTTAATGTAGTTGACTCAATGACAATTTATTATTTTATGGCTATTAATTGATTTTTATAATATGTTGCTTTTGTTGTAGTTGGATACCCCCCCTGCCCCCCCCAAAAATATCATTTACATATAGAACTAGTTATATTGAATAAAAAAAATACTTAGTATGTATAACTTTGTCTCTATCACTTACACTTATTCATATATACTACTTTATCAAAAAGTTAGACAAGTAACATTAATGCATAAAAAAATGAATGCATACTTGGATATACATAATAGATAGGAGGGGAAAAAAGAAAGAAGATAAAATCATTGATAAGTAAACTGTCATTGTTAATTAACATTTTTTTCTCCTACT